AAAGCATATTATAAAAGTGGGGTTTGAGCTTTGCCCCAAATATCTCAAGGTACAAACCAATTAGTTACGTTGGTTCAGCATTATAGTTTAAAAGAATTTAGCATAAGAACGTTGCCACACTCTAGAGGTATTTTTATTCACATTTTACTGAAAAGAAACTTTCTATTACTACTTCTATTCATACTGTGTAATACTTATAGAGGACTTTCTAAGCTAGGTACTCTAATGTACATATCTCATTTAATACTTCATAACCTTATGAAGTATGTACCATGATCATCTCATTTTACAGATGGAAAACCTAGATGCAGAGAGAATACATAAGTTTTTCAATGTCATGGAATTATTAATTAATGGCAGTTCTGACTTTAAACTTGTGGATCTCTTCTGATTCCAAAGCCCAGTACTATTAACCAAAGGACTGAAATTGTTTGAATAGGCTTTGTAGAGTAGTGCCTTTTGGGCTGCTTCTTGAAAGATGTTTGAATTTTGGGGATTTTTTTGGGTGATGGTGGAGGGGAAGGGGCGGGAGGGAGCCTTCCAACCCAAGGAAACATTAATTAACATCATACATTTTCCAGAGACTGAGCTACAATCTTTCACATACAGTATTTCAATCAATCCTTAAACAATCCTGTGAGGTAAGCATCATTGTATCTATTTTACAGATGGCACAACAGAGTCTCAGGACGTTTAAATAATTTCTTAAGGTTTGGTGACCTTTTGTCCAAAATTTATTTCAAATATTCTATCTTCACACCCACTAAAATGATGTAGAGATCACATATTTTGAGTTTCCAATCCTTGTCCCAAACTATTTCATACTTCCATGTCATAATTCAGGTGTCATTGGGACACTAAAGGCACATATCTGCTAAGTTATAAAACAAATACTATAATCCAAGTATTTGATATTAACTTCACTGCTCTTTCTGCTGCACTACAGTTGCATCCCAATTAGACTGGAGAAACAGATATAGTCACGCAGTATAGCAGTATAAACAAAGCATTTAGGATGTATGAAGGTGGAAGAAATTAGTGGTATAAGAGGCATTGATCAAACCATTATCATTACTGAAGAGTTTGTGTTATCAAAATGAAAAAAAAAAAGTTGTGCTGTACTCAAAAGCTTGATTATTTAAGAACTTTAAAACTAAGTTGTAAGCCTAGCTGGTGTGATTTGGTTGGGTGTTGTCCTGTGCACCAAAGGGTTGCCAGTTCGATTCCCATTTAGGAAATATGCCCAGGTTGTGAGTTCAAGCCTAGGTCAGGGCCTGTGTGGGAGGCAGCCAATTGATTTCTCTCTCACATCAATGTTTCTCTCTCTCTTCTTCCCCTCTTTCTAAAATTCAATAAAAATTTTTTAAAAATATTCAAGTTGTAACATTTTATTAATCAACGTTACCCCAGTAAATTCAATTACAAATTTGCTGGTTTACCCTCCAGAAAAAAAAATAACTAAAAAAATTAATTGTAACACTATCACTAAGCAAAAAAAAATACTTTTTTATAGTATAGAGAATTTATCTGCTAAGCAGAAATTATAATTAAAGTTGGAACCTTAAGATATTTTGTAATAGCCTTCTGGTAAGACATACATGATATAGCTGCCTTTCTTAGGTATTAATAAATAACATGTCATATTTTGTTTATGGGACTGGCATACCTTACTAAGGGTGGGCAAACTTTTTGACTCGAGGGCCACAATGGGTTCTTAAACTGGACCGGAGGGCCGGAACAAAAGCATGGATGGAGTGTTTGTGTGAACTAATACATGTTAACACTGCTGCTGGTGAAGGAGCGGAGGGGAGAGCAAGAGAACCCTCCGTTCTTTCGGCTCCGCGAGCCGGATAGAACAGCCGAATGGGCTGGATCCGGCCCGCGGGCCGTAGTTTGCCCACGGATGCCTTAGACTTAAAACAAATTAATATTCTGTACCAGTTCTTTTCTTTCAAAAAACAAAAAAGCTGTAAGCGGTACTAAAAATTTTTAAACATTATCTATAAAGGCCCACTAAGTTAATGTCTAGAGTGAGGTATTTTGCTGGCTACTACTTCAACAGTAGTTTCTCTTTTTCACCATTCAGGATTATGCTAGAAGAAGATACTCGAAAGAAAGAAAGGGAAATGAATATAAGGGGTGGGCTTTGTAATAAGGTACTGGTACTATGGTAAACGTGAAGAAATGATGGCCATGGGGACTAGGAGGGAAGGACAGGAAGAAGGAAATTCCACTGTCAAAATGGAAAGAGGTTCATGTTATTTAGTCAAATGTCAAAAGGACAAAGCAGTTCAGGGTAGTGCTAGGCTTGGAGAAATTTTCAAGTATAGTCAAATCTGCTCATCTGTATGCCTGCATATACAGTGTGCTGAAAAGGCATATATGATTCTAAAAGTAATTTGTGTTGCTGAACTGTAGGAGAATTTGGAATTGGGAAAGCGGAGAAAAACACATTTTGCCAGTAAACACAAGAAATAACATGATTTAAAAATGATAATTTAGCAACCTCCAAAAATAGTAAAAGTAGGCGTGGATGTAAAATAAAGTAGGCTATGTGATTTTCTGCCTGATGTGCTAAGGGGAGTATCTCTTCCTAGCATAATCCTGAGTGGTGAAAAAGGGAAAAACTACTGTTTAAGTCGTAACCAGCAAAATACTTCACTCTTTGGCTTTTCTTTCCTCTTATGGATAACTCTTTCCATATGATGCATAGGGACCTGAGGCAAGCAGCCACAGGTTTAACCATCTGAGGTCATTTCAACTTTAAAATAACTGAAAGGAAGTGTAACTTTAAAAAAAAGTTCATAAATAAAATATTATGGGAACACAGCTACACTCATTTATGTGTTGTCTGTGTCTATTTTCATATTAGAACAACAGAGTTGAGTAGTTATCACACAGATCATATTACTCACAAAAACTAAAATATTTACTATCTGACCCTTTATAGAAAAAAAAAGCCATAACCTGCACAATGCAATTTGCTAGTTAGAGTTATTTCTTGTCTTTACCAACAACTTTATCAGCTGGTCCACCTACAAGGGACCTTTAATGAGTAAAATATCCAGTAGTAGAGTTTGCTTCAAGTGCTCAGTTAATGACATGAAGGTTTTGTCTTGATTCTTCCATCTTTGGCTTTTCTTTCCTTTTATGGGGAAACTTTTCATTTTTTAATACATATGTTTTTATTGATTTTTAAATAGAGAGGGAGAGAGAGATAGAAACATCGATGAGAGAGACACATTGATGGGCTTCCTTCTAATGGGGATTGGACCTGCAACCTGAGCATGTGCCCTGACCAGGATCGAACCCAGGGCCTCTTGGGTCCATGAGACAATGCTCAATCCACCAAACAACACCAGTCAGGTGATTTTTTATTCCTTTTGGTACATATCAGCTGGAAGCTCCAGGTTCTTCACAGCAACCCCATTATCATGAGTAAATTTTATTTTCTTAGCATTTCCAACACAAAGTTCATTCTTAATGACTCTATCTGGGTCATGTGCTTATTCCTTTTATTTTTTTATTTTAAAAATTATATATATATGTATTTATATATGTATATATATCTGTATATATGTATATAATATTTCAGAGCGGAAGGGAGAGGGAGAGATAGAAACATCCATGATGAGAGAGAATCATCGATCAGCTGCCTCCTGCACACTCCACACTGGGGATAAAGCCTGCAAACGGGGCATATGTTCTGACTGGGAACGGACCATGACCTTCTGGTTCATAGGTCAACACTCAACTACTGAACAACACTAGCAGGGCCTTTTTTTAAAAAAATATTCTCATCCAAGGATATTAGAGAGAGAGAGGAAGGGAAAGGGAGAGAGGGTGGGAGGATGAGAGAAAGAGAGAGAGAAAGAAACATTGACTTGAGAGAGAAACATGGATCCGTTGCCTCCCATAGGTGCCCCAAATGGGGATCAAACCCACAACCCAGGTATGTGCCCCGACTGGGAATTGAACCCACAAGCTTTTTATGTACAAGACGACTCATCCAACCAAGTGAGCCATCAAGCCAGGACACCTGCTTATTCTAGAAAATTTTCTTAGGCAGGAAATGCCACAATCTTATTGAATATGCCTGGGATATGTGCACACCCCAGCACATGGGAATGGTGTCAATTCCATAAAAAACAATACACTAAGAGAAGAAAAAGGTACTTATCCAGTGAATATTGGGAGTTGCTTCTTGGAAAGGGGAGAATGTATGCTGCTTAGAATAAGAATCAAATGCCACTAGATCATCTAAAAGTATAATTTAAAAAGGAAATGTGATCCATTTGAAAGCAAAATTATAATCAAATTAATATTACAAAATAAATTTCTGCTGGAAAACAAAAAGAACACTTAAATTTTCCTGGTGTTTTATTTCTTCATTTGTTATGTGTTACCCTGTACTTGTCACATAGCATTTTTGAATATCTGTCCATGTCAATAAATATAGATCTATATTGTCTACTTTTATGTCTACATATATGCTATCATATGGTTACAACAATAATTTAGCCAATCTCTTATTGCAGATATTTAGGCTGTTGGCCAGTTTTTTATTACCAACAAGACTCTTGAATATACCTCTTGACTTACACTTCTAATTATTCTCTTAAGATAAATTTCAAGGAGGACTGTTAGATGTTTATTTATTTATTCCCCCCACCCCCCCTTGCCCTTTTCACACCCCC